AGCGCCTCGGACCGCGACTCGGGTGCCAACGGGCAGGTGCGCTGCAGCCTCCGCGGCCACGACCACTTTGCCCTGCAGCGCGCCTACGAGGACAGCTACATGATCGTCACCACGGCAGCGCTGGACCGCGAGCGCATCCCCGAGTACAACCTCACTGTGGTGGCCGAGGACTTGGGCTCGCCGCCCTTCAAGACTGTCCGCCAGTACACAGTGCGGGTGAGCGATGAGAACGACAACGCGCCGCTCTTCGCCAAGCCCCTCTACGAGGTGGCCGTGCCGGAGAACAACCCCCCCGGTGCCTACATCACCACCGTGGCGGCCCGCGACCCTGATCTTGGCCACAACGGTAAGGAGGTCCCCTCCCGTCTCCAAGAGACACGGGTCATGGGGCCCCCCATCTCCCCCTACGTCTCGGTGGACCCCGCCACTGGGGCCATCTATGCCCTCAGGACGTTCAACTACGAGATCCTCAAGCAGTTGGACCTGAGGATCCAGGCCACTGATGGTGGCTCCCCGCAGCTCTCCAGCAGCACCCTTGTCAAAGTGAGGATGGTGGACCAGAATGACAACCCTCCTGTCATCGTCCACCCGGTGCTCACCAATGGGACGGTGGAAATTGGTGTGTCCAGCAAGACCTCCCGCGACTCCCTGGTGGCCCAGATCAAAGCTCGAGACGCAGACGACGGGGCCAATGCCGAGCTCACCTTCGCCTTCCTGGAAGAGCCCCAGCAGGATGTTTTCACCATCAACCCGAGTACCGGGGACATCGTGCTGAGGGGCGACCTCTCTGAAGAGCTGGGACAGCTGTTCAAGGTCATCCTCACTGTGACAGACAACGGCTGACCCCCCCTGGCCACGACTGCCACCGTCAACTTCCTGGTGACCGCCACTGCTCCTTCCAGTATCCAGGAGATAGCCAAGCCCAGCTCCTGGGAAGGAAAGGCTTTGCAATGGGACATCCCTCTGATCGTGATCATCGTCCTGGCGGGCAGCTGCACCCTCCTCCTGGTGGCTATAATCACCATCGCCACCACCTGCAACAGGCGCAAGAAGGGGAACGAGATGAAAAACAACGCTTCCTTGAAGGAGCAGATAGACATCTCCCACCTGGAGAAGGGCCGGCAGGAGGACGGCAGCCAGAGGGGGAACGTGTTCGAGGTACGAACCTTTCCCAGCAAAACCTCTTTCACAGCTGCACCCTCCTCCTGGTGGCTATAATCACCATCGCCACCACCTGCAACAGGCGCAAGAAGGGGAACGAGATGAAAAACAACGCTTCCTTGAAGGAGCAGATAGACATCTCCCACCTGGAGAAGGGCCGGCAGGAGGACGGCAGCCAGAGGGGGAACGTGTTCGAGGTACGAACCTTTCCCAGCAAAACCTCTTTCACCAGCCCCGATCCCTCTCCGGCTGCCGAAGAGATCTCCACTGCCGAGAGCAGCAGCGACAGCGCTTGCCTCTACGAGGGTCAGAAGAGGCTCAGAGGACCGAGCGGGGAGGTAAGGTCCTGCTGCCGGGAGGGGGGCTGGGGGGGGTGCAGGTGTCCTCCAAGGGTGTGAATTGCAGAGGTGCCGTTCCGATGTCGATTTACCCTTCGCTGCTTCCCCTCTCGCCTGTC